CGGAAAGAGTATTGTTTAAGCTTATTGTATTTAGAATATTTGGTAGTTTTAACTTATGTCCGTGTATATAGTACCAAATCCCTGTAGGGATATTTAGTGAAAGAGTGTGGCTAATCGGTTAAACACTCTTAAATTAACAGCCAATTAGCTTCCAAAGCTGAAATTTTTTTATCTCACCGATATGGGTGTATATATATATTTTTTGTTTTCATCACCACATATCTTGACTACTCTCCATCCGTATTTATTTGTATTTTTCCCACATTTTCGAAGATAATATCAAAACTAAAACATATGGTAACTGACAAAAAAAAACTTAAAGGAGAATTTAGTAAAATTTTCTTTGAAGGCCACGTGACGGCTGGATAAGATGCCACGTCATTTGGATGCATCAGTCAGAAACCAAAAAGTATCATTGAGAAACAATTGGCAGAAGACACGTGGCATAATACCGGTGAAGAGTCGGTCCACGAACCTTCGTAAAGTCCGTAACGTATCCACTTTATCTTGTACATCCAATTAAATTATTAAAAGTATGAAAATCATAGATATTCAAACAAAGGAAACTAGTACTTGTGAAAAAAGCAAAGTACAAGTTAATAACACTAAAATATATAGATAAAGTTCCTTTGTGTTTCTTTAGTTAATTTGTTGAAGTTCGTTGAGAATATAGTTAATAAATTATACAATGAAGATCTCTAGATAGTAGATAAGAAGATAGGACAAATTTCTGAGTGTTACCTTTTTAAAATTTACAGGAGTATTTAAATCAGTTAGACAAATCATGCATATATTACTAATGTGCAGCAAACAAACGTATACTACTACAGTATGTTTTTAATCACTTTGTTTAAAACGATCAAAGTTTTTGTAACCATAATTAATGTTGAACGGAAACCAAACTGAAAGTCGTTTATACCGAGGCAGTGAACTATAAATAGTCTACTTAATTAGTTATAGTCGTGAGTGTTGAACTTGTAATGTTCACTACACTTAAAAATTAAATGTAGTTGAAAATTGAGGCTTTGACTAATGACCCCAACTGTCAAAAATTGCATTAATGACCCCAACTGTAAGAAGTTAGTCAATTTTTGCGGTACGTAATTAAAACTGGTCAAAACGTTTGGCAATCACCAAAATTTGTTCATCATTATTGGGGCTGGATTCGTCGCGAAATCCGACCACATAAAAACTATATCAAAACTTATTATTCGCAATATGTTGACTAGAATCGACCCAAATCCAAAGAGTTAGAGGCTATTTGTCTTAAGGTCCATGTCAACTCCGAAAAGACCGAGTCAACAGGTGCGAGAATAACGAGGTGAGATTGAGTTAGGAGCGAATCAACAGAGCGGTTATCTCAGTCGTAAGACCGAGATTCACGGAAAATATGCCGAGATCGTGCCCGAGATACGCAGAACTGCCCTAAGAACATGGAGTTGGATCGAGGAGCTGAGCTGAGCTTAGCTATAAATAGAAGAAGTCCAAACAGATTTCGCTAACTTTTCACACACACGAGAGCTTAACACTACATTTCCAGCTTGTAACACGTCTCAGACGAGACTTTATTGTATATTTGATTCGTATCGATATAAATCCAACTCCACTCTACTTTTTTTTTAATCGATGAGTTTATAGATATTTCTTAGGACTAAAGTTTCTTCTCTGAATTCACATACAAAATGCGGAATTTAGAGAGAACTGTTTTGCCCCCCCCCCCCCACCCAAAAATATATACAAAAATACGAATAAACAATATTTAAATCGGCACTAAGCGTGTTATAAGCCAATAAAAAATTGAAGGTTCTTTCTGAAATAAAAATTGGATCGAAATAAAAACCAAATTTTCCAACATTTTAATTGCGATTTTAATCTCATACACTTTGCTTCATTTTGTATATGTTTCGATTATAAGTATGGATTTTGGTCCGAGATTTCCGGTTTAAAAATCCAAATGACCAAAAATGTGAAATAAAAGGGTAGATTAAAGGAGCACACTTGGAGAATATAGCGAAGGGACGTAGACAGTGGAATCCTTTAACGAATGTGAACGCAAACGAAAATCTTTCTAGATTGCTTTTCTTATTTTTAGGCGG